GAACAGAACACGGCCGCCGCCTCACTCTGGCGGGAAAAGTAATGTAACGACAAAATTTCAGCAGAACATCTGTACGAAAAGTCCCGCGCCCCGAGACAGAGGGGAGTCTCAGGGCGTCACCCGTCGTCTTCCCCCGTCACCCGTCGTCTTCCCCCGTCACCCGTCGTCTTCCCCCGTCACCCGTCGTCTTCCCCCGTCACCCGTCGTCTTCCCATGTCACCCGTCGTCTTCCCCCGTCACCCGTCGTCTAACCCCCGTCACCCGTCGTCTTCCCCCGTCACAGAGACGGGAGGGAGACGACCATAACATAAGTACTTATTCACTTTCTCTTCCGTCCCGTGTCGTCGAGGGTATTGTGTCGTGTAGGAGGGAGACTGGAGGCCTGGAGGAGACCGAGCCGCGGGCACGTTGGACCCCCGAAATCATAGCAAGATGGGTCTAAGATATTTGCTAGGCCTCCCTGGCCTGGAGGCCTAGCAAATCCTATGATAAATCCTAACTAATCCTGTCTATCTTGACTATGATACGTCAAGATAGATAATTATCAAGAGGAAAGCGCCAAGCCATTAGGACTATGTAACAATGGGAAGGGATCAGGATAAGATTTGGGATGGTACGGGGTTCAATCCACGACCACTTGGACGGTCGGGAGATTGAACGCCGACCCGCATGAAGCAAGACCATCGCTCTACGTCCAGCCCAAGTGGTTGGGGTCAAGTCAAGAGCATAAAGTTGTGTCTCCATCAGCTGTGTAAAGCTAATATTGCTTCTTCCTCTCGTATCTCTCACTGTTTTTTCTTAGTTGGGGTTTTCACAGCTTTTGTTTTGTTTATCTTTTTATCTGTGTTTCCCAGCAGTGATGGGTATCAGTGGTGGGGCCCCGCCCCGAGGGTCCTCCGCCCCCCGCCCTGAGGGGCCACCCCCCCCCCAGCCCTGAGGGCCCTGACAGATAGTTGTTGCAAGGTTTTTTTATAGAGAGACCAACAGGCCAACTGATACAGCCAACTCTTCCGCCTACCTGTGTTGTGTTCTGGGTTTCTCTCCTTTTATATATTTTGCGTCCTGCTTCAATATTTATTCTTTGACAGAGCGGGTGATTATATCGGGCTATCGGGAGTCTGTGATTCTTAAGTGTTCCGTCTCAATACACGAGTCTATCTTCACTCTTGTTGAATTTATGGTCTTATTTTTGAAGGCTGCAGGCTCTCTTCCTCATCTCGACTTGGCACAAGAAGGGGAACCAGTCTCGTTATTCTCGTGGGTCTTGCTCTCAGGGCTGGGACTGAGAGTGGAGCTCTCAGGGCTGGGACTGAGAGTGAGCTCTCACGGCTGGGACAGAGTGGAGCTCTCAGGGCTGGGACTGAGAGTGGAGCTCTCAGGGCTGGGATGAGAGTGGAGCTCTCACGGCTGGGACAGAGTGGAGCTCTCAGGGCTGGGACTGAGAATGGAGCTCTCAGGGCTGGGACTGAGAGTGGAGCTCTCAGGGCTGGGACTGAGAGTGGAGCTCTCACGGCTGGGACAGAGTGGAGCTCTCAGGGCTGGGACTGAGAATGGAGCTCTCAGGGTGGGACTGAGAGTGGGAGCTAGCAGAGTGGAGCTCTCAGGGCTGGGACAGAGTGGAGCTCTCAGGGCTGGGACTGAGAGTGGAGCTCTCAGGGCTGGGACTGAGAGTGGAGCTCTCAGGGCTGGGACTGAGAGTGGAGCTCTCAGGGCTGGGACTGAGAGTGGAGCTCTCAGGGCTGGGGACTGAGAGTGGAGCTCTCAGGGTGGGACTGAGAGTGTGCTCTCAGGGCGGGACTGAGAGTGGAGCTCTCAGGGCTGGGACAGAGTGGAGCTCTCAGGGCTGGGACTGAGAGTGGAGCTCTCAGGGCTGGGACTGAGAGTGGAGCTCTCAGGGCTGGGACAGAGAGTGGAGCTCTCAGGGCTGGGACTGAGAGTGCAGCTCTCAGGGCTGGGACAGAGTGGAGCTCTCAGGGCTGGGACTGAGAATGGAGCTCTCAGGGCTGGGACTGAGAGTGGAGCTCTCAGGGCTGGGACAGAGTGGAGCTCTCAGGGCTGGGACAGAGTGGAGCTCTCAGGGCTGGGACTGAGAGTGTGCTCTCAGGGCTGGGACTGAGAGTGGAGCTCTCAGGGCTGGGACTGAGAGTGGAGCTATCAGGGCTGGGACTGAGAGTGGAGCTCTCAGGGATGGGACTGAGAGTGTGCTCTCAGGGCTGGGACTGAGAGTGGAGCTCTCAGGGCAGTATTCCGTGATGCCTTTATCCACAGATGGTTACATTATCCACAGATTGGGATTGAGAGTGGATCTCACAGGGCTGGGACAGAGTGGATCTCACAGAGCTGGGACTGAGAGTGGAGCTCTCAGGGCTGGGACTGAGAGTGTGCTCTCAGGGCTGGGACTGAGAGTGGAGCTCTCAGGGCAGTATTCCGTGATGCCTTTATCCACAGACTGGTTACATTATCCACAGATTGATTACATTATCCACAGACTGGTTACTTTATCCACAGACTGGTTACTTTATCCACAGACTGGTTACTTTATCCACAGACTGGGTACTTTATCCACAGACTGGTTACTTTATCCACAGACTGGTTACTTTCCACAGACTGGTTACCTTATCCACAGAATGGTTACCTTATCCCCAGACTGGTTACTTATCCACAGACTGGTTACTTTAACCAAAGACTGGTTACTTTATCCACAGACTGGTTACTTTATCCACAGACTGGTTACTTTATCCACAGACTGGTTACTTTATCCACAGACTGGTTACTTTATCCACAGACTGGTTACTTTATCCACAGACTGGTTACCTTATCCACAGACTGGTTACTTTATCCACAGACTGGTACTTTATCCACAGACTGGTTACTTTATCCCCAGACTGGTTACCTTATCCACAGAATGGTTACCTTATCCACAGATGGTTACATTATCCACAGACGGGGTTACTTTATCCACAGACTGGTTACTTTAACCACAGACTGGTTACTTTATCCACAGAATGGTACTTTATCCACAGACTGGTTACTTTATCCCAGACTGGGTACTTTTTCCACAGACGGGTTACCTTGTCCCCAGATGGGTACTGGTTACTTATCCACAGACTGGTTACTTTATCCACAGACTGGTTACTTTATCCACAGACTGGTTACTTTATCCACAGACTGGTTACTTACCCACAGACTGGTTACTTTTCCACAGACTGGTACTTTACCCACAGACTGGTTACTTTATCCAACAGGACTGGTTACCTTATCCACAGACTGGTTACTTGATCCACAGACTGGTTACTTTAGGCTCGAGCTATACTTATGTCAATGGTTTAGTGGTTAATGAAACCTAATGACCGCGCAGGGATAGGCCTATGCGGGATAGGCCTATGGGGCCCGGCGTCAAACTATCCGCTGCTGTGGAACAGAAACTGTCAATGGGTCCAGTGGTGAACTCTATTGACCTGGCTCCGTTCCATCCGTGCTCTTTTCCATCTATGCTCTTTTCCATCTATGCTCTTTGGTAACTATGCTCTTTGGTAACTATGCTCTTTGGTAACTATGCTCTTTGGTAACTATGCTCTTTGGTAACTATGCTCTTTGGTAACTATGCTCTTTTGTAACTATGCTCTTTGGTAACTATGCTCTTTGGTAACTATGCTCTTTTGTAACTATGCTCTTTGGTAACTATGCTCTTTGGTAACTATGCTCTTTGGTAACTATGCTCTTTGGTAACTATGCTCTATACCATAGTTGTATTGTTTCTAATGGTGATTTGACTTTACGGGAGGGAACGCCAAGGACCTCCCCCCCCCCTATCCCCCCCACGAAGACTTTAGACTTGACGATTTTCTGTCAAATCAAAATCTTTTGATTTTGATTCGACATTCCTTCTCCACAGTCTTACAAGCCGAAAATACATTTTTCAAGTCACTCTTTTCCATCCCTTGAGAACTATGTTATCGCTCCTCCCGATCCTCCTCGTCCTCCTCCTCCTGAACCTTCCACTCGTCTCGTCGCTCCTCCTCAACCTTCCACTCGTCCTCCACCTACCACGTCGTCCTCCTCCTCCACCTCCCACTTCGTCCTCGTCCTCCATCTTCCACTTCGTCCTCCACCTCCACTTCGTCCTCCTCCCCACCTCCACTTCGTCCTCGTCCTCCATCTTCCACTTCGTCCTCACCTCCACTTCGTCCTCCTCCTCCACCTCCCACTCGTCCTCGTCCAATCTCTCGTCTCTAAAAAAGAATATCTTTATTCTAGGATCACAGAAGACAGTGTGAATGTGGGGATTGTGGTGAGAGATAAATCCTTTATCGCGACGGAGAATACCAGATGAGACGCCACCAGAGCGAGCGAGCGAGAGAGAGAGAGAGAGAGCGAGAGAGAGAGAGAGAGAGAGAGAGAGAGAAGAGAGAGAGAGAGAGAGAGAGAGAGAGGAGAGAGAGGAGAGAGAGAGAGAGGAGTGAGAGGAGTGAAAGAGAGGAGTGAGAGGGAGGGTGAATGAGTTAGAGAATGAGTGTGAAAGTCAGCGTGAGAGAGACTGAGAGGAGAGAGAGAGACTGTGGGAGTGACAAAGAGAGTGTGTGTGTGAGAGATGAGAAAGTCACCTCCCGAACTGAGGGTCGACCGATGGACTTCGTAATAATTTAGCGACCTCGCAACCACCGCCCCACACCTCACAAAACCACTGTTTACGCTGTTGTGTTCCATCAATTATACAATCTTGCGCAACAGTCACCGGATCACTTGGATTAAAACATATATATACGCTTTACTCGTCTTCACAAAGCTATATAGTCTGCCAATCTCATAGATCTGTAAGCCACATCTCATCCACAGCCTCTGAATTCCAGGAAAGTCATTGGAATTGTGTTAACACACGCTTGAGCGATGATATACGCTGAGAGGTTACGCTTGAGTGATGAGGGGTCGACGAGGAGAGGCCGCTCACACCAGTAATCAAGGGGAAAACACAGGTTATCAGCACGCTCCACAAGCCCCACTTAACTCCTTGTTCCACTACCTGGCCACAGAGCCCCGGCCTGCAGGTGGAGTAGAGGCTGCTGGCCAGCAGGTGGAGTAGTAGGCTGCTGGCCAGCAGGTGGAGTAGTAGGCTGCTGGCCAGCAGGTGGAGTAGTAGGCTGCCGGCCAGCAGGTGGAGTAGTAGTAGGCTGCCGGCCAGCAGGTGGAGTAGTAGGCTGCTGGCCTGCAGGTAGGTAGGCTGCCGGCCAGCAGGTGGAGTAGTAGGCTGCTGGCCTGCAGGTGGAGTAGTAGGCTGCTGGCCTGCAGGTGGAGTAGTAGGCTGCTGGCCTGCAGGTGGAGTAGTAGGCTGCTGGCCAGCAGGTGGAGTAGTAGGCTGCTGGCCTGCAGGTGGAGTAGTAGGCTGCTGGCCTGCAGGTGGAGTAGTAGGCTGCTGGCCTGCAGGTGGAGTAGTAGGCTGCTGGCCAGCAGGTGGAGTAGAGTAGTAGGCTGCCGGCCAGCAGTGGAGTAGTAGGCTGCTGGCCTGCAGGTGGAGTAGTAGGCTGCTGGCCTGCAGGTGGAGTAGTAGGCTGCTGGCCTGCAGGTGGAGTAGTAGGCTGCTGGCCTGCAGGTGGAGTAGTAGGCTGCTGGCCTGCAGGTGGAGGAGTAGTGCTGGCTGGAGTGGCCTGCAGGCCTGGAGGTGGAGTAGTAGGCTGCTGGCCTGCAGGTGGAGTAGTAGGCTGCTGGCCTGCAGGTGGAGTAGTAGGCTGCTGGCCTGCAGGTGGAGTAGTAGGCTGCTGGGCCTGCAGGTGGAGTAGTAGGCTGCTGGCCAGCAGGTGGAGTAGTAGGCTGCTGGCCTGCAGGTGGAGTAGTAGGCTGCTGGCCTGCAGGTGGAGTAGTAGGCTGCGGCCAGCAGGTGGAGTAGTAGGCTGCTGGCCTGCAGGTGGAGTAGTAGGCTGCCGGCCTGCAGGTGGAGTAGTAGGCTGCTGGCCTGCAGGTGGAGTAGTAGGCTGCTGGCACACACACTACAGGCTGGCCCCGGCTACACTTGTCTCGCCTTAACGGGAGGAGGCTGGACCCGGCTGTGTGTGTGGGTTGGTGTGGTGTGGTGTGTGTGTGGGGTGTGTGGGTGTGTGTGTGTGTGTGTGTGTTGTGGTGTGTGTGGTGTGTGTGTGTGTGTGTGTGTGGGTGTGTGTGTGTGTGTTGGGTTCCTGGGGTGTGTGTGTGTGTGTGTTGGGTGTGTGTGTGTGTGTGTTTGTGGGTGTGTGTGTGTGTGTTGGGTGTGTGTGTGTGTGT